ACTACATGCATTGAATGAGTCACTGTATTTTATGAAGTAAGTGCTCGATCATACGCAGATGTCATTTTGATAGGATTCTGCATTACCTCAACAGTTTTTGATGAGCTTCTGTTTGGAACTTCCACTTTAGACTTTGTCACACGGGATCTCATGTCAATTTTTAGAGGACTACATATTTGCATCGAATTGTGAACTGTAAGATGATCAAACCTTATCAACTATCGTATAGTAAGTTTAAATAGTGTACCAGCCGCCGACTTCTTTGCAACCCCATTCAAAAGTCCCTCAAACGTGTCTTATGGTTCAAAAAAATTTTCTAAATTTTTTTCCCGAAATTGTAAAAGTCACCATGATGCTATCATTGATGCAAAATACTCGAGGTAATTCGAGTCTGGGGATTCCCAGCGCTTTTATGGCATAATAAAAATTGCCTTATACTCTTTTGATATACTGTATGCACATTCCCTCGATTCTGCACGTTAGCTTATCAAAATTTCTGTAAAAGGTGGCTTTACGATTTGAGCAGTTTATCCTTTCACTCCTAATTCTTGAAGCTCGATTCACACTTTGAAGCACATATGACTTTTTCTCAGAAATGGCAATATGATGCATCATTTTTGCATCCAGCTCAAAGATCGGAAAGGAGGACATAAGTATGTAAATGAGAAAAAGTGATGAATACATTAACAATTAATGTAAAAACATATTGTTAAGACGAATATGACAGCAAGCAGGGTTCTTAGGTTATAGAAGTCCCTTGCGAACACCTCTCTTCAAATTGCACTGGCAATTTCGCCTTTGCCATAAAACAAAACCTCACCTATTTATGATGCTAGAGAAGTCATGCTTAATGAACAGAATATGCGGTAGCTATCAATAGCCAACATCTTTGTAATGATTTTCCATTCACATACAAATTTCTTGCCAGAAAAGTTTTAGAAATGCAGCATTATGGCCAAAATTCGATGTATATCGATGTATACCACATTATCTTTGGTAGCTTCACATGACCTGCCTTCCTTAAGTAATGAAAATCCGGCATCGAATAAAAAAAGACTACATCGAGAGGTGTCATCATGTACGTGGCAGAAAAGAGCAGCATTATTTTACTACTTTATTATTTATTCTCTCATTACCTCATTCCTATAGATGAGAAGCATGAAAGCTCTATTGAATGCAGGACCGACGCGCGGCGCGTCGCACACGTTCCATTAACGAACTATTATCGCAACTGTGCTCATCATAATCATCCGCGCGGGGCGTGGATACGGGGTTTGCGGCGAGAATTGGTTCTGTAGCGTTGGGCATTGGTCCCGCGCCTGATAGAGCTTTCATACGACACGTCTGTGGAACGGGCAAATTGCAAAGAATGTAAAACCAAAGTTAAGTAGATTTTTGATACATCACAAAAAATATGTAGTCGAAATAATACAGTAAGCTAGCTCCGTTGTACACTATTTTTTTAGTAATCTGCATTCTGTTCAATGTTTCCTTCAAAGCCTTGCAAACACTGCGAAAACAATTATTCAGGTCTTGCTCTTGATCCTTTTCCAAAACTTCTTCCTTCCTACTACATCCGTCTTTTAAGGTAGCCGTCAGATACCTGCCGCACCAAAATGAAATTTGAAGTTGAGCTGAAGGTTGGAATTTTGTTAACTCGCAATAGTGCGGGTACGACATCGTAGTTTATGAAGTGCTTCCAAATATTCACCAGATGTTTTCATATATGCTGAGGCATTTCCATCATGTAAGGCACATTTATCCGTTTGGAGTTTGGTATAATGAAATGAATTTTTACTTTTAAGATTCACCTTATTATCAGTTCCTTTGGCTACGCGTTTGGCGTTAAACGCCTTCCACAGAGATTAGATTTTAAGGAAAACTACGGATGCTGGGTATCCACTTTCCAGAGATAACGTCCCGCAACAAATTGACAGAGCAAAACTCTTCTAGTACAGAAAGCTTTGGTTAGCGAGAAAAAGTTACAGCTACTTTCACGTTATTCTCCAAAGCAAAGCATGCCATGCGTTTGCAGTGGAGTTGAAAAGCCATTGAACCATTTTTAACATGATTGTTTAGCGAGACTTCAGTTTTGGGTGATCACCGAAAGACTGGCACGTGGTGAGTTACGCCAGATACCATTTGCCAAGCCCACAAGCTGCTCAAATTTCGGTTCTGCAGAGTTGGCTTCAACGATTCGCGCAAACTGCTAGCTCATATTCGAAGGCGCTATTTCCATAATTCTTACCTCTTTTTCTTCTGGACCTGTTGTTTGCTCAAACCACCCTGCTTATTTTATCGGCAATGAATGGTAGCCGAAAAGGGATAATCCGTGAAGCACAGTAGAGCAGAGGAGTGCCAACAGCGCAGTTCTGAGCAAAGAGCGAGAAAAACTTCACTCCTTCCATGGAAGAACCAAAAGTCCAATGCGCTCTTAAGTAATCGATGATGCCTGTGCCGCCGTATTCAATTCCTTTAGTATAGACTTTGAATCAGTTACTATATGGTAAGCATAAGGAACCAATGTGCTTCTACGACTGCATTCTACAAACGATCTTGTTTGATTTCTTTTCTGCGAGTTATAATTCCGCATTCATTTCTTAATTCTATGTGCGAGAGAGTTGAAGAAACTGGAGGGCGTACTGTATATTTCACACAAGGTTCTGCAAATAATGCAACAGTTTCAATACCCGCTCGCAACTTTAGAGGCGAAGATTTTGCTAAACAAGCGATTCTTTGTTACGATGCCTTCAATCTAATTATACTAAACCGAGCATAAGAGCAGCCCATAGAAAGCATTCATATAGACATTTTCATTATGTTAAGAATTGTAATAATTTCCTTTAGACCGCGGCGTATACGTAACCATTCCTACTGCTCTTTACAACCAATCACCACATAGCTGGTTCAATCCTTAAAAACGATGATTGTGTGATATCTGGCATAATCTACCTCACATGTACCAGTCTGCGGCGCTATTTACAGGAGAAATAGTACGTGCTTCAGCCAATTTTGTAAAAGGACACTGATGGCCTGTACAAATAAACTTTCAATACTGGTCTGGACATATGCCCTATATTCAAAAGTGAAGGTTTATGAAACAGTGGCTCGCGTACCAGAGTTTCTAGATCGTTTAACCACTATAAGCGTTTGACTTGTCGCCCCAAATATAAGGAAAAAGGGAGAATGCATTACTATCAAAAGTGACTTTGCACTATATCCAATTTGTTGATATAAACGAAGAGGCATATCACGTCAGTTCGCAGCGGCCCTGCAGTTTTCCAAACAATGGACATCTAATGGGTAACTTCCAAATCGTGCCAGAACGGGTTTAGCGCCATTATATCTCTCAAAAGAGGGCCGATGTTACGCGGTGCAAACACCGTGTAACATCGACCTGCTGCCAGGAGGTAGAATGTTACGAGCTTCGCAATGTCGTAGGAGAGGGGGGACAGTAGCGTGCGGAAAAAGGCTTGCTTGCATAAGATTTAATATGTCATCCTCTTAAAGAGGCAGCTATGGTGTAGACTAAAAATCAATTATGCGCATTTCTTAGTGTGCAAAACTTGTCTAGAACTTTGTGTTTTCAATCCTGCTTTTCGTATCAACGCAAGTTTTGTTTATTTGTAAGATTTTGAAAAATGTATTTATATTGAGCTATTGGGTAAATTTAGGCCGTTATTTGCAAACTCAAACATCTACTAAGAAACCGAAGATTTGGCAGCACATTAATGTCATTTGGGAGAAGAAGCCTCTCTTCACAGTGAATTATATTTGGCTTGAATGATTTTTCTTTAGTCAAGTAGAAATGACTGAGATGGAAAAATTAGAAGGCCAAAAAGACAGCTTTATTGTTCTTAAAGCAGAATAAACTTGAAATTGCTATGAGGCTGTGAGGTAGTCGTATATGCTAACTGCAAAAATATATCCATCCCCCAACAATAGAGCCTTACTATAGGAGTTAGGTATACGTTACAGTTGTCAAAATCACGTTATTTTAAAACTGATATAGTGGGCTTATTGAGAAATCTTACGCTCACCCTTTGTAAGACGGGTGAGTATACGATGGAAAGGTAAAAACCAGTGGCACGCTTGGGAAGGAAATTCTAGGTAATCTTATGTTTACCGTGGGCAATTTCTTTATCACGGGAAATAAATAAGATGATGTCATTTAGCTCCAGCGCATCACTTCTCAGCAATTATTCTTTAAAAAAGTTATCTTTCCCTTTAATAGTTCCACTTCCTTTTTTTGATGCTTGAAAACTTTATAGATGACAATTAGTCACAATGTTCTCAGTTGTATAAGAGTTTCTCAGGAAAAGGTAAGGTAGCAGGGCATGAAGCCAAGGAAAGAAGAGATGATACACAATAATAACGAGGTCAGTGCAAGCAAAATAGATAAACTGTCTCAAGTTGGAAGGAAAGTAAACATGCCGGGACAAATCAACTCTTGAATAAGTAATATTTTTAATTTTTACCAGTCCGGATTCGCTAGTATCCATTTTATTGCTAAATTATTCAATGTAGCTCACAATGCTGACTTTCTGCAAAAATGAATATCAGCTAATACTTCGTACTTGTACGGTAGTATACATTGTATAAGTAGAGCAATGGTAAGACGTTGACGCCCACTCAGCAGTGTTTCGATGACGTAACGCAGCACGGCGTTTTTCGTCTATCCTCAAACCACCCGAACAGCTTATGAGCTTAAAACATGTTCAAAGCTGCCACGAGCATGACTCAACTATTATTACAAATTTGGGATCTTGCAATCACCCCTGATAGCGGTGACTTATCCTTCGCTTAGCATTTAGACAATGAAGAAAGTTGTTATTTCCAACAAAAAAGGCATTTTAAAAAATTACTATCTCTGACAGACACATCCAATTTGGAAATATTCTAACTTTTCAAATTGGGAAAATTTTGAAAAGCTCGTGGTTACATCTATTTAAAATAAGCGAGACGATGAAAACCCGTTCACAGGGACTGCTATGCTTTGCTTTAAAGAGGGAGCAAACTCGGAATAAAGGATACTTTTAAATTTTGGGTGCATGTAAGTTGACCAGTTTTTTGAGCGGATATAAGTGACAGACTTACTTGCAGAGATCACCATGTTGTAACCCCGACCAAACTTGATATATCTTACTGGAAACGTAATGGCAGTCAGACGGTCCACAGCTACCACTAAGCTCAGGATGCCCTGAATCAAAGAGGATCCTAGTGGAATGATCGAAAATTCATATTTTATTGGATTGCACCTGCATTTGGTAGGATACAGTAAGCAATTGTACGAATAAACGCTTTGTGCATGATGACCTTGGAACCAGAGGTATTTCTAAAGTTCAAATAAAATGTTGTAGCAGAACTCCACTATTAAGTAAATGTCAAAAATGTACCGTTTACCGAGCCTATGGCCACAAAGCGACTGACTCCAGTTGAAAAAAGCGCTAAACCAAAGAGAACATCCGTTAGCGCAATACCGACAGTCACTAAAACCAACTTTTCACCATAATTAAAACACGAGTTGTCTTAATTTTTGAAAAAAATGAATGTTCTTTTAAAACAGGGGACAAGGTACGCCATAATTATCTAAAGCTTGGACATTTCTTACTACAGTGCACTTAAGTGAACTAGGCGAGATCTATGATAGATCGGATATCAGACTATGTAATGAATGTAACGCGAAGGACGAAGGGATGAAGGGCCCTCTAATTTATACGCGAGTGCAGAAGCTTTGTTAGGAGTCGTCCAACAAACGTCGGCGTCGACGGTATTGGCCGATGCATAGAGGAGTTTTATCCTCCCGATCCTCAGTGACGGGGCCCGTAAGGTCTATTCCTGTTTGTATTGTATTTATGCTTCATCTGTGGGATAGAATACGGGTAGTTTTGTGCTTGTGTTATGTTGCAAGATTGGGATTGGCTTAATCGATATTAAATAAGGATATCGACAGTAGGAGTAAGATTTATTGTCCTAGCATCCTCCGCGGGCAAGCTACAACCATCGAACATTGTGTTCACCATACGACAAGCTAAGATAGAACACGGCAACATCAGGGGGCGGAGCTTGATCCTGAGCAAGCTTCGTAGGACGACAGTAGCCACACTTTTACAAACACACATAAACACCCAACACGCACACATACATACACATTAGGAATACAGATTCTTTCGCATATACTTTAAGAGAAAAGAGGGCGAAGCATCCACTCAAGCGATCATAGGAATAAGGATTGGCTAGGTCCTCCACTAGGTACCGCGTAGTCATAGTTAACGTTAATGGCAGACAGCATAAAATTACACGTCTGATATATATATATATATATATATATATATATATATATATATATATATATA